TGGAGAGGAGGAGGACTGTAGGACCTTTGGTGCCCTCTGAGCTTGGGTTATTTTCTTGCAGATGTTTCATCCCCAAACTAGTTGTATCATCAGTGTTAGAAGAGAGTTGGGTGAGAGGAGGAGGAGGAGGAGGAGGAAGAAAGGACGGCTGTAGGATCTTTGGTGCCCTCTGAGCTTGGGTTATTTTCTTGCAGATGTTTCATCCCCAAACTAGTTGTATCATCAGTGTTAGTAGAGAGTTGGGTGAGAGGAGGAGGAGGAGGAGGAGGAAGAAAGGACGGCTGTAGGATCTTTGGTGCCCTCTGAGCTTGCTTATTTTCTTGCAGACGTTCCATTGCTCAAAGAAGGTAACAGCACTGATGATGCTACCTAGTTAGGTAATGAAACGTCTGCAAGAAACCAACCAAGCTCAGAGATCATCAAGAACCCTTCATTTCGGAGTGGCCAAGGTGTCCCTTGGAAGGCTTAAGTTGCGCCCGATTTGTTTTGTAGGCTTCACCTAACGATTTTACTTTTATAAACGAGAATATCCATGCAGCCAATTTATACCTTCTGCTTTTCTGCACTTAGGTGAAGCAGGAATTGATAGCACAGGTGGAGTTGTTCCGTGAACTGACGGGCCAGTTACCTCATCACATGGATGGACACCAACACGTCCATGTTCTCCCAGGTAAGTAGGATCTGCGTCAGTGGTGGGTTCGGATCCCGTCGCAACCGGTATGCTGTGCAGGGGACCAGGCGCTGTAGTCGGAGAGGCGCAGCTGCTCGGCGGAGGTCACACAGCACACTGTGTGCGCGTGCACAAATTGGCCCGTTTGCGTCAAACAAACGGTAAGGAACGCGGGCGGGGAGGTGGGCCAAATGAGCCATCATTCCGGTATGGTGGCTGCTGCTCTCAGCTACCACCAGTATGGTCGTACCGGTGGCCGTACCCATCACTGATCTGTGTTGATCGATCCACCGTCTCCCTTCTGCTCCTCAAAACATATCAACACTGGCATTTCCCTGGAATTGGATCTCCTTACCATGCTCTTCCTCTTCGGTTACTCTTCCAGAGATCAGGCACGTATTCGCAGAGGTGTTGGAAGACTATGGGATCACGTACACACGAGTTCCCATTGAACCGGATCTCCCACGCTGTGGTTGGATAGAGTCAACGTTGATGGATTTCTACTTGGGAGTGGAGAAGGATTCGCTGGACACCATAGAGGTCTTTCAAAAGCATGGCATAAGGTGGGGGCATCTATAAGACTAGAATGAATGAGCTGGGGGGGGGGGGGCTGGGAGGTCTTCTAGTCCAGCCCCCTGCTCAAGCAGGAGAACCTATACTATTTCAGATAAGTGACTGTCTGGACTGTCTCCCTCTCCATAGAAGACTTCCATTGAAGTTTCAAGCACTGAAGGAAGGGACTTATGATCAATTCTTGCTCTTACGACCGTCACAGTATCACCATGGTTACGTGATCCGAGCCCTTGTAACTTTAAATGGTATCTAAATGGATGATTCTAAGAGAAGGGACATATTATTAAGACAGTGTAAGCAAAGGATAGCAATAGCAATAACAGTTAGACTTATATACCGCTTCATAGGGCTTTCAGCCCTCTCTAAGCGATTTACAGAGTCAGCATATTGCCCCCAACAACAATCCGGGTCCTCA